AGGAGTTGGAGCAGTTCTGTCCCAGATGTCAGCCTCCGACGGGAAACTCCATCCCTGCGCCTTCTTCTCTAGACGCTTCTCTTCTGCAGAACGAAACTACGACGTAGGAGATCGAGAGCTTCTGGCCATCAAGCTGGCCTTGGAGGAATGGCGCCACTGGCTGGAGGGGACAGAGTTACCCATCATCATTTGGACCGACCACAAGAACCTCTCCTACATCCAGTCCGCCAAACGCCTGAACTCCCGCCAGAGTCGTTGGTCTCTGTTTTTCTCCCGTTTCAACTTCACCATCACTTATCGCCCTGGCTCTAAGAACACTAAGCCTGACGCCCTGTCCCGGCTATTCTCCTCCTCTGAAGACCCAGGAGATCCAGAAACCATTATCCCTGAGTCCTGCGTTTTTGGAGTTATCTCCTGGGAGCTAGAGAGACAGTTGCAGCAAGCACCGGTGGGCGAACCAGACCCCGGAGGCGGTCCCCCACGAAGACGCTATGTGCCCTCCACAGTCCGTTCCCAAGTTATCCGCTGGGGTCATTCTTCAAGGTTCTCTGGTCATCCTGGCTCTAGTCGCACAATCGCCCTTATCCGGCGGTATTACTGGTGGCCATCACTCAATAAAGATGTCTCTGAATTTGTTTCTGCCTGTCCTGTCTGTGCCAGAAATAAAGGCTCCAGCAAACCACCTACTGGTCTTCTCCAACCCTTACCCAGACCCAGCCGCCCCTGGTCTCACATTGCCTTAGATTTTATCACTGGTCTTCCTCCTTCCAACCACAAGACAGTTATCCTCTCCATCATTGACCGGTTCTCCAAGGCCTGCCACCTGGTGGCCCTGTCAGGACTCCCGTCTGCCCATCAGACAGCCCGGCTTCTAATCAGCCACGTCTTCAGGCTTCATGGACTCCCCACTGAGATTGTTTCTGACCGCGGTCCACAGTTCATCTCCAGAGTATGGCGTGACTTTTGTCAGAGTCTGGGAGCTGGGGTCTCGCTCTCATCAGGATTTCACCCACAGTCCAATGGGCAATGCGAGCGGCTCAACCAGGAAATCGAGAACACCCTCCGCTGTCTCTGTTCCCAGAACCCCAACACCTGGAGTCAGCATCTCGCTTGGGTTGAATACGCCCATAATACCCACGTATCCGCGGCCACTGGTTTTTCCCCATTCGAAGCTTCTGTGGGTTACCAGCCATCTCTCCTCCCCACATCCTTCCCTGACTCTGTCCTCCCTTCTGTCAGATCACACCTCTCCCGTTGCCGTAGAATCTGGGACCAGACCCGAGCAGCCCTGGAACGTGCCTCCATCCGTGACAAGGCGTTTGCAGATCGCAAACGCCTTCCTGCACCCGCCAGTTTGCCTGGACAGGAGGTTTGGCTCTCCTCTAAGGACTTCCCACTGAAGGCTGTTTCCAGAAAGATGGCTCCCCGTTTTCTCGGTCCATTTAAGATTGACCGGGTTATCAGCCCATCAGCTGTCCGTCTCAAACTCCCTCCACATCTTCGTGTACACCCCACCTTCCATGTTTCCCAGATCAAGCCTGTTTCCTCCAGCCGACTGTGCCCTCCTGCCGAGCCCCCTCCGCCCGCCCGGGTTGTGGATGGTCATCCGGCCTTCACAGTCCGCAAGATTGTTGCCTCTAGGCGCCGTGGTCGAGGCCACCAGTTCCTGGTGGATTGGGCGGGTTATGGCCTTGAGGAACGCTCCTGGGTTCCTCGCTCTTTTATTCTTGACCCTACTCTTATTTCTGAGTTCGAGTCCTCTTCGTCCGGACGGCCGCCAGGGGGCGTCCGTTAAAGGGGGGGTGCTGTCATACTCCCAGTCCTGGGTGCAGGCTGGGGTTTTGCTTTTCCTTTTTTCTCTCTCTGCAGGGCTGGATGGGCAGGTGCTCCTCGTCAGCTGATTTCCACCCTTTTTAAGGAGCTGGAACCAGGAGGAGGGCGTCAGTTCGTTAATGCTTCAGCGTTGGTACAACTGATCCTGAACCAAGCCTAGAACCTAAGCCTTGCCTGAATCTAACCCTGTCCTCTCTGCTCCCTCCTCCTAGAACCCAGGATCCCAAGCCCTGAAACCACTCAGTCAGCCTCTAGGAACCTGTGAGGCTTCTGGTCGCAGAACCTTAAGACGCCCTCCTGCCTGAGCGCACCTGCCAGTCCACCCTCAGACACCACCATCCGATCTCGCCAACCGGACCTGCACCAATAGGCTGGATCACTGGACACCATCCTCCCAAACAGACGCCAAGCCTTCCTCTCTGTGAGTCTCATACATCCCTCACTCTTCCACCAGCACCGACCGGTTGCTCACCTGTAACCTAACCTCTTCCAGCCGTATCCTGACAACCCTGCCTGCCGGACTCCTCTCTGTACTACCACAAACCTTCAATAAAACCTTTAACAGATCATTGCCTCCGTGATTGCTCCTATTCAGAGTCTGAAAACCTAAACATGACATCCACAGGGTTTAGACTGAATACACAATGTCAGTCGGATACTTATGCATAAGCCACCGATGTCATACCATGATTTTCTTTACGCTGATGCTCAAATTGACTATTGAAAGGCATGCATTTATATGTACAACACTCTAAATATTTTTACCACTGAAATGTGCTTTATGAATAAACTCGCTTTCCTTGCCTTGACATACAATATATCTGCCATGTATAGTTATGTACAAGGTATTTGCTTTATAGGGCTCTTAGGGAAATACCTTGAAAATCTAAATTTCAAGCCACTAGTGTTATTGGAATCTAGTACAAGACCATATTACCTTCGCAACATTAAAAAAAATATGGATATTTTGATGGTAAAAAATAATGTCGATGTAATAACAAGAAACGCCAACTTTCCCGAATAAAGTAAGAAAAATAACAAGTGCTAATTTTAGAAATAAATGCTTGTATAAGAAATTCATGAAAAAAAACTCTGAGAGTGAAAGAAACACATTTTTTTTGGTACAACATTAACCTTAGAGGCATAAATTCTGATACTGGCAATTACATTTATTAGTTTAGAAAACTAAATATAATTGTTAAATAGGCTTATTAACTTTTGAACTTTTTATGTGGCTTTTTACATTTTTTTCTTGACTTGTTAACTTTTTTTTCTACCAACCTTTTCATAACATGAGGACCCAAATTTGGGTCCTCAGCACTCGCCCCAAGATGGTTTTTAGACCTGTAACATATTCTCTGGGGTCTTGCCTTTATTTTGATACCAAAACAATTAAAATAAACTCTGTAGGTCTTGAGATATATTCAATTCATTTTGGGCATGTTATTTTCAAGCATATTTCTCGAAAACAGGCCTAGTGTCCAAGAGGTTTTTGTGCTTCTGGACCTTACTTAGGGACTGGGAGGGGGGACTCCATTTGTAAGGGGTATGCACAAATGGTAACTTACCCTATAAAGGGTTAAAGTTGCAGGAATAAACGGTTTTACAATCAAAATAACAGTTTTATAAAACGAAGCTGAACAATTAATGCCAAAACAAATCCATTGTGAAAGCAATCAAATTATTTGTCTTCCATAGTAGGAACCTAACTTTTACATAACAGCATTTGCATACACTGCTCTGCAAATATTTATTATATTTTTAGAAGTACATCTCTCGTCCATAATCGTCTCACTGCAAAGACTTTTCTTTTTTCAAATGTATTCTTGACTCTGGCTAAGCCACCAAGATCTTTCATTTCCCCCCAGTATAACTGTTGTTTTGCAAATCTGAGTGACCACTTGGATTCACTACGATGCTAAAAAGGGAAATTCTTTATTCTTCAGTTTTCTAGCAAACATATGAATGCGTAGCCTCAGCCTAGCTTATCCTTTTATAAATCTCTCCCCAAATACTAAGCTAAAGTGGAGATATGGAGCAAATGTGAGGAAAAAGCTAAAAAGGAAGCTGAGCTTTATTCATTTCTTCATCGGATTCACAGAAATGTAAGAAGATTTAAAACTTACACTGAATCCAGATTTAAGGGTGTGTAGACTTACTAGGAAAGGTAGTAAGTCACATATATTCTGAGCTCCACTAGGAGAGTAAGCAAATGCTATAGTTAGAGGTAAAGACGTTTTAAAGGCAACATGAAAGAAGATGTGTTTGGTTTTTGCAGAGACCCACCTGTGAAAGACAATTCCCCAATGGAAGCATATCAACCCACTACTTTTAGTAAATCCAACTTGTTTTCCAAACAGACATAAGAATCCACTTAACGTCGCTTCCTAGAGAATTTAACCAATCCACCTCAAGAATGCTTTAGAGACTTTTCTCTGCAAAATATCTCTACATTTACAGTAAAAACATATTAACCAGCTTCGAGTTCCTCCGGCATGATTTCCTCTCCCACATTCTAAGATCCTGTTGCCTTTCTCAGGTTGATATACAGTAGTGAAGAAAATTCTAGACAGCTCAAATATCTCCAAATGATAAACGGAAATCTCTACGTTGTCAGCCAGGCCAACAATGACCCTAACGACTTCATTATCAGAGAAATGGGCCGTATCGGGGTTTGCAGGCCAACGACCACCTCAACGACTCCCAATGACTAAGGGTTGGACCTGTTTTTTTCAGTTCGATTTGCATGTTTTCTAAGCCATAACAAGGCTTTATTTGTGCCAATCTATGAGCCCGGAGCTCAAACGCTACTCCAGACATTTTGAATTGAGAAAGCTTCCTGGATGGGAAGCGAAACGTCTTCAAGCTTGGAAAACAAAACCAGCATTTTTCTGTTTTTTTACTTTGTTGAAATGAAATATCTACCTCTATTGTAGCCAGAAAATTCAAGCATCTTTTTGGATTTTCTTAGCTCTAACTTTATTGATTAACACAATCGTCTAATTTCTTTAATTTCTAAAACAACCTACAACCTACCTTTAATCTCTCCAATAAAGAAAACAAAACAAACTAGGAAGATAATTCATTCTGTTTGGCCTTAGGTGCTCTGTCCTCTGCTCACAGTCTGCAGGGTCAGAGTTCGGTACACCTGTGTTATTTCCACCTACTTGTTCAGGTGTTTCATCAGCATCTCTAACATCTGTCTGTTCTTCTCAGGCAGTCGGTGGACGAGAGCGTGGATCTCTTTCACTCTGGCCTCTGGGTTATCCATCTCTGCAGAAAGACACATTTAACAAGAAAGGTTAGTTTCTTCAAGAAAAAAAGACATCATCAAGGATGAGCAATTATAACAAAATATAAGCGAGGCACCAAATATTTAGCTAACAGAGTCAACATGTGTTTCCTTGATTGTAATATTGGAACAAAGGAGGATATTTTTATTAGTTATGCAAATTAACTAAAAGACCGTCTAAGAAAATAAGACTTAGGAATAGTTTGAGTATTAATTCCAGGAGTTTACAAAAGAAGAAGAGATAATCCTCAAAGTGAGCTGTATTCACACTTTCAGTCAGCTGTTGGAGCATTAACGGGGAAAGACTATGTAGATCTAAAACACGCAGAATATTCTGAGGCATTATAGGTAGAGACTGCATTTACACAGAAATTCATAGAAAGTTTATTTCCCGAATGAGGTTTCATATTTTTATGAAAATAAGTTTGATTGATCATTAGCCTATTTTAATATTTACTAAATCTAAACCCCGAAAATTATACCTTGTGCTTTTGTTATTTTGTGTATTCCTTCTCTCCCTCTTCATAGCCACACCAAAGAGAATTGTTTTCTAAGAAAATGCTCCTAAAGTCCGTAAAATGTCTGGCTAGCACAACAATGTGTTTATTAGTTAGTTGGATTGCCATACTGCACGACATTTAATGTTTATGTAAATTATAGACTGTAGTTTGCTTAGAAAAGTAAACATAAAAGCGATTCCTGCTACAACAAACATTATAAGGAAAAGGAGAAACAGAAAGTGCTCTAATAATTTGCAGTAGGAATGTTTTTCCCCTAAAGCCTCTCTGTTACACCCCAGTAGAAAATTATCATCTATAAAGATCATAAGAGGTACAAGCATAAGGTTTGTCACCAGAGGTTTGATAAAATGCTGATTTTAATGAAGCATGTCTATACATATGAATCATAAGACACACATTATGCTTCAAATGGAGGTTTAAATCATCTATGCAGTTTCTGCTGTAAACGTGTTGGCAAAGTAAATAATACTAAAGCTATCAACATTTTTTTTTTCATGATTTACACCATAATGCAATTTATGATTTGCAAGATCATTAATCTTCTTGGAGAGAACTGCTGGAAACCGGGAAAGGCGTGTAGCCTTGTAGACTGTTAAGGCCGACAGACTTGCTGTTAAAGCATCACTGTTCCAAGTCAACAGCAAGGTGACAAAGTGCTCACACTAGATCAGGCCTTCAGCTCTGGCTGTCAACGGAAAAGTAATGCACCACAGACTGCAGTACAGGGCTGAAAAGCTCATTCACACACTTTAATCCTGACAAAGTTTCTGTATACAGGCCCGGATCCTTGGACCTGAGCATAACAGCAGGGCGCAAAATGCAGAAATAAGTATAAAAAAACACAAAAATGTCATACATGGGTCTACACAAGACTTGTGGCAGATGTCACGGTGAAAACTGCACCTCTTGAAGAGAAATATGAAGGCTAATCTAAAGCTTGCCCGAAAGAACACATCTAAATACCAGGATGTAGAGAAAAAATTATATCTGGGACAATTTAGAGTAAAATTTGATTATTTGATGATTAAGTTCCATTTAAAATACTTTATTTTTCCCATAGGGAAACTAAATGATGTAATTCAGTGATTCCCAACTGGGGTACTCAAAACTCCTAGTGGTCTGTGTGCACATTGCAAGGAGTACATGTATATAAATCCCTTTAGTGTGCCACAGTGGGGAAATCCACTCTCTGCATTTAAGCCATCCCCTTGGGGAGCAGTGGGCTGGCATTGTGTGGCGCCCCGGGAGCAGTGTGGGGTTAGGGGTCTTGTTCAGGAACCTAGAGTGGAGGCTGTGGGGATCAAACCATGTACTTACAACCTTGTCAGAGCACAAGCGCCTTGCTCTAACTACTAGGCCAACAATCCCCTTTATTTATTTATTTATTAGGTAGTAAAATAAAATCGGGCTGGGATCTATTCTACTTTGTTAGGATCCAATTGATTTTATCAACCAAAAAGTAAGATTTTATTTAAGTTCACCTTCTGCTGTGACACACATCTAAATCAAGCAGAGGAACAGACTGGATGTAGAGAACAGCCTTGTATCTGCTGTTTTCCCCACTGAGCTCATCAAAGCAGCTCAGGTGTTTTGATGAAAACAAAGTAAAACTAATTAAGTGAGTCTGACTATAATCAATATTTTGTTCCCAGTATATCAAGTTTAAATATGATAGAGGAGATACTCAAAGAAGTGCCAGTTTTATAAATACAGGTTTATAATATGATTTTATTTTGTATTTATTTTGATTCCTTACTCATTTCCAGGCAACATATTTATGTTTTTTATTGAGATGGAAAGCATAAAATGCCTCAGAATTAAATGCTCAACTTAAAAGATTAAGTTGATTAAAATATATTTTATTTTATAATCAGTTATTGTACGCTCCACTTTTGGACAACTGTTAGGCAACCAAGTGTTGCACATATTTAAAGGCCAGATACTTTTAAATGAGAGGGGGTGCTCATGGTAAGACAAAATGCCCAAAGGGGTTCACAAGTCAAAAAAAGTTGGGAAACATTGTTATAATTCATAAAACATGTTTTCTTTGATCAAGTTGTTTGAGATGATTGCTGATCTTCCAAAGTCTTTCTCACAGTAGCTCAGGAGAAGCCTCTGACAGAAGACACCTCTGTTTTATGCTTGTTTGATGAAGAGGATGCTCAGGGTCATGTTCTTTGTTTTATCAAGTAAATCTGAAAATGAAGAATAAATGACCCTATTGGCATAAACAGGGTTTATACAGGAATGAATAACTCAAATTTAATGCTCTTTTAATGCTCTTAGAAATCATTTTAATACCACCAACAGGTACCCGTCGACAGGCTGCAGCCATGTCCCAAATTTCTCGTTTTTCCAGCCACTTTTGTTGAAATTAGCTTTTCCCCCCCATTCTCTAGCTTTTTCTCAGACTCAAGCTTCTTTTCTGAACATACAGCTTTGCGATCAACCGGACGCAGTTCCACGCAAATATATTGTGATATAATATGTCTGACGAAATTGTTTTTATAAACTTTTTTTTTTTAAATAAAGCATTTTAAATGCCACAATAAAGACATTTAATGAATTTTAATGCCAATTAAGGCCTTAATTTAAAAAATAATAATTTAATGACTTTTAATGATTTTTAATGAGCCGTGGAAACCCTGATAAAGGAAATACAGCATTCAAGAAAAAATAAAATAAAGATAAAACCCATTCCAGTTGTAAAGCATGGAGGTAGAAGAGTCATGCAGGGGTCCTGGTTAGTGTTGCGCCAAGGCCATTTTTTGGCCCCGATACCGATACCCGATACCTGGCTGCGCACTATTGGCCGATATCGATACCATACCAATATCACCTGTTTAAAATGTGTGTGTGTGTGTGTATATATGAAGAACCGCATACTACTTGCATGTAAAATAATTGCCATCATGGCTTTGTCAAGCTGCTGCCTACCTTTGTGAAGCAGAAAAAAACTAATACAAAGTGAATCCAGTAGAACTTTTTATTGCCTACCTGGAATGGGTGACAATAGTTGAATAAACTTATGGCTCTCAAAATGGTATTGATGCACTATTTGTTGGTACTCGCCGATACCACCATTTTAGGGCAGTATCGGGGCCCCGTCCGATACTGGTATCGGTATCGGTGAAACACTAGTCCTGGTATGAAGAGGATTCCAGTAGCAGAAACTTGAAAAGTCATTTTTTTCACCATATTTTCACTAAATAACTTTTACTAAGTTAACTAAATTGTTTATCTCTGGGTAAAGTGTAACACAAAATACAGATTTTACTTTACTTATTTTAGAAAGGCTATCTATATGAAAAGCAACAATGTTAGTGAAAAAACAAAACCGGTTTGAGAAGTAATTCAAGCCCTTAACTGTTCCTCATATATGCAAACATTGGGGCGTAAATACATTTGCTTGACAAATGAGTGGCAACAACCTTCAGCCCTGAGCTGACATTAGGGAAAGGAATAAAGGGCAACACAGATCAGCGGCATGAGACAAGCAAACGAGAAACCCTCATTATTTTCTATGAAACAAACCCGTGCCGCCGGCATCTGGTTGGTAGATTACGCTTGAAGGCAAACCGTCCAGCTAACATCTCGATATCTGTTCTATTCGGAGGCATCAACTGCTCTAACAAAACACATTGAAATCCAGTAATATATGTCTCAGAAGCTTTCAGGATGACAATGTGTTTTAAGGACTCTATTGATGTACCACCTGTCTATTTAAGTCTCCGGTTGACAAAAGGCAGTGAGTATTAGAGATATCACTCAATCAAACATCTATCTCATCCCTTCTAGATAGCCGGGAGGAGAATAACAATCTTTTCACACATCGGGTGAAACCAAGCGATGATTAAAAGATAGCTATCAGTTGATATTTGTTTAACAGGGAAATGCTGACTCGCTAGACTAGTTGTGTGCAAAAAAGCTTTCTGCAGCACCGGCTCATATTTCTATTTGGATTTCATCAATTTGGATTAATAGAAAACACTATAATGAATAGTTGTTTTTTTTTTTACTTTTAGAGGGATTTGAAGACATAATAATGCAGGAAATTTATACAGAAAAAAAAAATGAAAAACTCATGGGAAAAACATGCAAGCAAAACTGAATGTCAGTTCTAAGGAAAGTTAATGCGTTTGGTATTTTCCTGTCAGTTCGCACAAAAGACAGGTATCAGAAGACAGATTCCATCCTGCCACACCTTCTGCTCTTCCTCTTCTTTCTCTACAACTCTACACAAAACCTGCTCCCACAAGACTACTTACTTTTTGAATCTTTGTCTCATTTCTATGTTTCAACCTGAAATTCTATACATTGGATGAGAGGAAACATGAGGAGGGGGAAGATGAGTGACGGAGGAGGGACTGGAGATGTGAAAGAGAAGGGAAAGAGGGAGGAGCTGGCAGAGAGAGTTCAAAGCAGGACAGCGTTCTCACGGCGCTCTGCCAAGTGAGAGGAGAAAAGAAACAATATTCAGCCACATTCCTCCTTATATAGTTTTTCAAACCACAGAGATGTTCTGACATAAGAAAAGTGAAAAAAATAAAACAAAAAAAAGGTTATAAGCAAACATTATAAAGAGAAAAATTCCAGAATGTCTTTAAACCAGCTGTTTTACACACTAAACTTCCACAAGCCCTGTTGACCACCCCCTCCACCCTTGTTTGGCTGCTCTTTATACAACGCTGCATCCTGGTAGTGTTGCTAGGGACAACCAGTCATTTCCTGGAGGCCAGCATTGCTGTCGTTCTTTCTTTAGGATTAGCCGCAGTCAAACACGGAAAACCTGTCCGTCCAACTTTTAAAACCTGACTCGGTTAAACTGAATTACTCTTGATCTTTTGACATACAGTAGAGAAGATTATAATTAACAAGAGAAATTACATATTGTTCATAAACATATAATATTCATATCTCCTGTAACATTTTTCAAATGATGTTGCAACTACAGAGTTTAGTCTTAGAATATGTTTATTTCAACTTTTTTATTAATTAAAACCTTTTTAATTGAACAATTTCTCCAACTCGTTAAGCTTAAGACTGATTAACGAGACTGCTTCTCTGATGTTCTCCTTGCCCGACCCATCATTTTAGGTGGATTACATTAGCTTGGTAGGCGTGCAGTTATTACACACTCCTTTTATGTTTTGCTTTTTAACATAAATGTTTGCTCTTCATATTAAGCTACATCAAAACTGACATTAATTTAGCTGATGTCTTTGGGAAGAAAGTCTGAGCCAGCGTCTGCTTTCAGGAGTTTATTTTGTATCCCAGCAGCAGCAGCAGGAAAGGAATGCAGTGGACTGAAACGATTGCTTTGGCTGTCGGACAGTAGAGATAATCAATCTTTAAAATGGCTGAGTAAGCCAAGTGTTTTTTTTTTTTTTTCCTCCACAACGGGCGCTTTACATACAAAAATAGATCATTTTTAAGCTGTGGTTTGGAATTACATAACTCCCTCAGAGAGTTTGTACCATTTAGTTCAGAAACCCTCGGCTTTTGACTTTCATGTCAAATCTGACCCTTATCTGTGTAATACTTCTAATCCACACGCTGGCTGGAGGCAAACTGTGTCACAGAAGAATTATAAGAATAAATTAAATCCCATTTATGTCATTCAGATGCAGAATTGTATTAGTTGTGTTTTAAAAGTCATCTAAGTTTTTCCCAAAACATAAAAAAAGGAAAAAAACATACTTATTGATATCATCCCTATGTAATTCAGAAGGATTACATCTTAAAATAGCAACTACTAAAATCTACCTACAGGATGGAAATTCGACTTAAATTAAGATCTTTCCTGTTGTTGCTACAATCACTCTTTTATTTAAATAGCTGTTTATCTTGATGCAGAATAATATGAGACTTACTGGCAGCTTTGATGAAACTCCTCTGGTACTGATATGTCATGAGAGGCGCAGGCAACATCCTGGACAAACAAGAGATGACAGGTAGAGTAATATGCATCGAGGTTATAAGGAATTAAACTGTCATTTTAAGGGATGAATCTAGCAGAAACTGTCCAGTTATTATAAAGACAGGAAGCAACAAATCAGATCAGTTTTCCCACACATACCTGAGATAAAACTTGATTGCACTTGTTATTGTTTTAATCTCCCACTCTGGGTTGTCCAGCTCCACATCAGCACATGTCTTAGGATCTGATAAACCAAATTGTTCACTTAAAATCAATAATGGTGAAATGTTTTTTTTTAAACATAAGTAGATGATTTCCCCTTAAGGAATTTGGACATTGTTATGTGAGGGTTTTGCGTTTACCCATAGCCAGGCTCAGTAGTTTCTGTACTTTGGAGTTTACGCCAACGATTCGGTACAAGCCCTGCTCCCCAATACCTGAAGGATCAGAGACAATACCAGAATGTTATTCTATGGAAATATTAAGCAAAATACTAGAGAATATTGAACATATTAAAATAAAAATCAGAAAAAAATATTTGGAAAAATTAAACAAGGAGCCTCCTTCATTAACTAACAACTTGAACCTTCTTGCAAATGCTTATGTCACAACTCAGTGACTCCAGACGTCAATGGATTGTCTTCTAGCAGAGCCTACACCATGCTTAAGACAATCCAGACTGTTTTCATTGGTTGTTCCAAGATGGTGGAATGACCTACAAAGCACTACAAGAACAGCAGCATCCCTCTCTTAAGAAACTCTTAAAGACCAACCTCTTCAACAGCATCTCTTATCCCAACTCTTACATATAGCTCTGAACACCTCTGCTACTCTTTCTGTACTTCCCACCAGGGGCGTCTCTAGGTTTAAGAGACAAGGGTGGCTCAGCCCCTAGAAGATAATGCGCGCCGAATTTTTTCAGTGCACCTGCTAAGGCGTTGTCTAAGACAAGGGTGTAACTTTGTGTTGAAAGTTGGTGGGGACGGCTCATAAGGAAAGGGAGCTACCTGCGCGACGCCTTTTTTTTTTGTTGGAAAGGATAAAGCCAAAAAAATGCGAATAACATTTATCAATTTAATGCTTACAGTTAAAAACATAACTGTTACAATATTCACTTATATATTTTGTGCAAAAAATATCACATAAATCTAAACAGACAGTACAAATCAAAGAAATCAAATAAATATATCAATTTTGTAGAACATTTATTGACAGTCAATTTTGGGTCACTTTTTAAAATTAATTTACTTTTAAACCAGGACTCGGACAAGATCTTATGGGACCTTAAGCAGAATATGATTAAGCAACTCCGTCTTTCTGTCAAGAACATCCACCAGCAGGGTATCCAGGGGGGGATTTACCATTAGGCAATACTAGGCAGTTGCCCAGGGCCCCAAGTTCTGGGGGCCCCATAAAACTCTGTTTCCATGTATGGTTAATACAACTAATCCTTATTTGTGCACATTAATTATGTTTTTGATAAAAATCCTTTGGCTAAAATGCCATCAGAACGCTGATAAATAGAGAGGAAAAAGGGACAAGAAGAGAGGGACAAAACCTAGAACAAATAATGGATGTCTATTCTATTAACATTTCTCTATCTGTAGAATGGGTCTGTTTTATGGGTTTACTTCTCAGGGGGCCCCCTGCCTGTCTTTGCCTAGGGCCCCAAATTTCCTAAATCCGCCCCTGAGGGTATCAATACTGATTTGATAGAATCTGGGAGAGCGGACTATGTTCAACCATCCATTTTCTTTAACCTTATCCCTCAGTGGGATCAGGAGGTGCTGGTGCATATCTCCAGCCACGTTCTGGGTGAGAGGTGGGATCACCCTGGACAGGTCACCAGTCTGTCGCAGTATGTTCAACCAGCTTAAAAGTAATCGGTAATCAGATTTATTATTTGCACTTTTACTAAGTGAACTTTCTAACTCCCTTAAATCTAAAATTCCAATGCCAAAATTGTTTAAATCTTTTATCTTTGGACCCCCTGCAGAGTGACGTCACACCTGCAACATCCTATCCTTACCTTCCTGCTAGATTGCAAAAAGCAGCTTGCTCATGAGTTGTCAACATAACACGCTAAATCTTAAATGTACGTGTACATATAAAAGAAAAAGGGGCGCAGTGCTTGCAACTGAATGGCAACACTATCAAAGTCAGGAAAAAGTTTTAAGTAAAGCCGGGATTAAAACAGTAGCTACAACAAGATTCAAATAAAAGGTGTTTTTTATGTTCATCCTAAACACCAACTCCGATAGACCATCAGTAGAGCAGGTGTTTAAATTAATCAATCACTGCTGCGAAAGCTTATAGCAGTGAAAGCTAATATACCACAGCCATCACTTAATAAACGCAAAATAAACAACCCTCTAAAAACGGAAAACTGTAATGGACTGAAAGTCCTGTTTTTTATGTGGGAAATTATTTGCGTGTGTTTTAGTATAATTCTGATATATTGGCGCTGTTGTCTGTTTCTATGGCAACGATACTGAATGTAGTGTAGCTTAGAGACCTGCATGGGTCGAGTTTTACCAACCCGCACCCGCCCAAACCCGTTAGGATGACGACCGAACCCGACCCGTCACCCGCGGATATCTTCAATTCAAATGTTATGGGGAGAGGTTGGAGGGGGGTGATGGGGAGAAAGCGAGAGGATTCTTTTTTTTGAGTTTTTTTGTCGGGGTTTGTGGACGGTGAGCAGCGGGGAGAACTTTTTTTTCAATTTCTTTCTGAGGAGCGGCATGAATGGGGTTTTAATCAGATATACACAGCACCGAAAGCAAAATACGTGTACAAAATATTGGTGGGGACCGTCATGTCCACACCAGTCCTTAAGGAAGTTACGCCTATGATTGTTCAGATTAACTTGTCTTCTTTATGGCTTTTATTCGGTGCTTTACTGCATTTGTTTTGGGAAAATATGAGGAAAAAATAAATACAGAAAAAAAATATATTTTTTTTAAAATCGCAAAATAATTATAGGGTGGCTAATGCCAAAGAAAGGGTGACTGAAGCCACCCTTAAATAGGTCTAACGACGCTTATGCTTCCCACTATCTGTTTGTTGTCACAACAGATTATAACTTGAAATTTTCCTCTAGAGAACTTACTTTCATAACTAGGGATGGGAATCGAAAACCGGTTCCTGTTCAGAACCGGTTCCGTATTTTCCGATTCCATGGCATCATTTGGCAGCTCGCTGAACGATTCTTTTTTCGATTCCCGCAGCACCACAGCCTAGAGCGCCGGCTCTGGGGAGCACGACTTACGTCACGTTTTTTACGTAAGTTACGCAAGTTACGCAAGTTGGAAGAACTATTCGAGGAGGAAGACAACGAGCTGCGGTCACTTTGTGAATCAAAGCCCCGTCTTTCCTTAGCCCAGAGGGTAGATCAGGAAATCCAGCTCTATAAAAGCTTGCCCTCCATCCCCTGCAGGGATAGCGCCACACTGTGGTGGTGGAACAAGCAAGATACGCTGCCCTTGCTATCTGGACTGGCTGAAAACTACCTCTGTGTGCAGGCTTCCTCCACCCCATCTGAGAGGGTGTTCTCCACGGCTGGAGACATCATAAGCCCTGAAAGATCCCGTATCCTTCCAGAAAAAGCAGATATGCTCATCTTTCTGCAAAAGAACTGTTCATTTTCCCTACTACTGTTTTATAATTAGTATTTTTTGTTATTTAAAATAGGTTATTATCCCATCATTTGTTATTAGACATTGTTGGTTATTAAGTTTGTTCTTGTATTCATTTTTCATTTAAACACAGATGTTACTCCAGTTTCACATTTCCTGTGGACATCTTGATCTTGTTGAGTTTGTAAGATTCTGCAATAGTTACGTAAACAAAGTTGATTTTGATAATCAAACTGTTTGTTCTCCTTTTTCCCCCAAATTGGAATAGAAAAAAGAATCGATAAAGAATCGAATCGTTTCATAGAATCGAAAAGGGAATCGGAATCGTGAAAATCTTTTCCAATTCCCAACCTTATTCATAACTGTAAAACTGCTTCTACTTTGTAAGTTGCTTTGGATAAAAGTGTCTGCTAAATGCATAAACATAAACTAACATTAACGCCTCTATTTAAGTTAAAAATGGCCTATAAGCATTGAAATGGATGCATATTTAATTGGAGCAACAATGTAAGGAGCTAAGGAATTGGTCCAGTTTCCTGGAGCTATGAAAGGGAGGGTGGCCCACAGCATCACATAACTGTGTTACATAACTGACTGCAGAATCTCTTTTTAGTAATAAAGTTTGTACTGTTGATCAATTCCGTTATAGAAAAAAGTAGCATGGCTATAATTAGGTGCTTATCAAGAATCTTGGTATAAAACAGAAACCAACTTCTATACATATCATCAGTGTGGTTTAAACAGTAGCCATGTTGTCTTAGTGTGATGTCTGACAGTGTTACGCTAAATAAAGGTCTGCCCCAAGGGTGCATATTATTGCCCTTGTTATTTTCAATATACACAAATGGAATCAGATATGACAGAAAAAATTACAGTAAAGGATTGCATCAGGTCTTTCATAAGATCACAGATGACCGTTGCCATCCACTCTCCCGTCACTCTGAGCTCCTTCCATCACGGCAGACATGCAGACTTCCTCGTGCCATTTTGTGCCCACTGCCATCAAGGAGCTGAATAAGTTGTACCTAAAGTAATTTTTTTAATGTTAATATATTTTATTACACTATTGTATGTGAGCAAACCAAAGGCAAAATTATGCCATTGTTGTGTATGATAGACAATAATGCTTTTCTATTTAATTATATTACAAAGATGAACTGCCACTCCCTAACACTAAAGCACCCTGGGAGAAGAGCCACATTTAGGTCCATTTTAGAAACCACTACCGCTTATAAAGGCAATGCACTCTTACATCTGTGTGTGAAGGTGTACAGAAAGTCACTATTCAAAGCATCAAAGGCATCCATATCACCTTATTAAAAGTAAAGTAAAACATCTGGTTACATTCATTGTAGAGTAATTTAAAAAGGTTTTGCTGCACTATTTGTGGATAAAAAACAAAAAACAAAACATGTGGTATCAGTGATGATGTAATGACCTGGCATGCTTAGTTACAAGCTTTATCGAACGCTGGCATGAAACAGTGAGAAAACCTAAAACTTTGATGGTTCTAAAGCAGTCAGGCTGTATTTAAAGAAACACCCTATCGGTACATTTTAGTCTGTTTCACTAAACTCAGTTTTTAATCAAAACAGATCACATAACAAGGGCATATTCAATTAAATATTACAATGTGGCTCTATCTGCTAAAATGTAAAGCAGCAGAGAGAAGCAGGAACTGATGTTCTTGGGGCGACTGACAAAACAAGGTCCTTTTTTTCCTTTTATTTTTCAATCATGGAGACCTTTACTGTGGCATTTTAGAGGAGCATGCGAAGGCCAGGAGTGTCCAAAAAGATCACAGAGATGCAGATTCATTCGAGCCAGATTTAAACTTTTAGCAACACGGCTTGCAATGTCAAGGATGCCGCATTACATATAACCTTAATTCCTGCAATAAGAACAGCAATATCAACACACATCAACATCCTGTGGGGTATAATCTATTCAGTTCCTCTGTCTTTCTGGGATGCATTTTTTTATCTGCTTCTGGTTTGTTGTCAATCTAGGTTTTTGTTTAGCTTGATAAAAGGGCCGGAAATTAGATTACATTTACCAGCAATGGACAAATAATTTAGATGTAGGGTTTATCATTTTGCCATAATTAGTGTCTCCTTAAAGTCAGATTAAGAACTCTGCAAAAAATAAAATAATAGAGAAGCTTACAGCTTTTTTTATTTATTTTTTATTTATGCATTTTTTCTACTTGCTTTGATTCTGATTTATTTTCCTATATTCTAATCATGTAAAGCACTTTGCATTGTCTTTGTACTGAATTGTTCTATAAATAAATTAGCCTTAAATAAAAGGATAAATAATGAGGAGAACACTTTTAGTGAGCTACAAGTACAGCAAATAGAAGTGAAACATATCACAGAACAATAAAATAAATGCAGTTATTGAGAAATTTTATACTCTGATTAAATAGAAAAAGCAAAAAAACAACATTTGTTGTGTTATTAAAAAAACACTTTTAGAGAAAGTGAAGAGAAAATGATCAAACGTCAAAGAAAGACACTGATGTGCACAACAACATATAGGAACATATCAAAGGCTTCAAATACGGGAATCTATGGGGGAAAAACTATTCTTGGTCAGATAAGGAATCTTTACCCAAAAAATAGCAATTTCTTACATATTTTAAGTAAATGGTCTTCTATAAATACGCATACTGAAAAGGTCGGTGTGTAATCTGGTCAAGCAGATGTCCAGTGAATATATGCAGAAGTTCAATAAACCAAATGAATGAAGCAGGAGAGCAACCAAGCAGATATACTGTTAATAGTCTACCTCGAGTTTCCACGGCGTAGATGAATTTTTTCATGATGTTGAACCCAGTGACATCCAGCTGGGCCACTGGGGATGAGAGACAAACAGAATGAGCAAGAGACGATTAGGAGCTTATATAAATACACCATGACATGATCTTTAGTCCTAAGATGTTTATACAATCTTAAAATGCTTCTCATCCTTACAAGAAATTCCTTTAGGTTCCAATAGGTTTTTATTTAAACTACAAGAGTTGTAGTTGCTGTATGACGTTTTCTTGTGAAAATTAAAAAATGTGCTCAATCAGAATATACAGATGGGCAGTGTCAGTTTTCCCCAGCCGGGGAATCTGAGTACAGTTAGCTAAAATGACACCACAGGTGTTAAAAAAGATGTCACTGCTCACCTCTTTTACAGCGCCTTCCAAAAGCTAAAAACTTTTCAACCTTTTGTCACATATTAGGCTTCAAACAGAGACGTTAAATTGTATTTCTTTGTAAAGAATCAACAAGTGGGACACAGTCATGAGGTGGAAAGAAACGCTTAGGATATTTCAAACTTTAACAAATAAAAACCTGAACAAATGGGTGTGCAAAATGATTCATCCCCCTTGAGTTAATACTTCTTAGTGCCACTTTTTGCCACGATTACAGCTGCAAGTCGCTTGGGGTTTGTCTCTATCAGTTTTACACATTGAGAGACTGAAATTTTTGCCCATTCTTCCTTGTCAAACAGCTGGAGCTCAGTGAGGTTGGATGAAGAGCGTTTATGAAAAGCAGTATTCAGTTCTTTCCACAGATTCTCCAGTATATTAAGGTCTGCACTCCGAAATGGCCATTCTAACACCTGGATGTGTTTGTTTGTGAACCATTCCATTGTAGATTTAAATCTCCGTCCCAGTCTCGGGTCTTCTGCAGATTCCAACAGGTTTTCTTCCCGGTCCCTGCTGAAGAGAAGCAGGCCCAAACCATGATGTGTTCAGGGCGATGAGCTCTGTTGCTTTATGCCAAACATAATGGTTTGCCTTGTTGCTGAAATTTTCGAATTTTTCATCTGACCAGAGCATCTTCTTCCACGTTTGCTGTGTCTCCCAGGTTGTTTGTGCTAAACTTTAATCAAGACTTTTTTGGATATCTTTAAGAATTGGCTTTCTTCCAGAAGAAAAACAAACAAACTGTTATCTTATGGACAGGGTCTCCCACCTCAGCTATAGATCTCTGCAGTTTTTCCAGAGTGATCATGGGCCTCTTGGCTGCATCTCTGGATTTATATTATGGATATATTAAAATATCCAACAAATTTTATTTCACTTCATAATTGTGTCCTACTTGTTATTGATTCTTAACAAAAAAATGCAATATTATACCTCTATGTTTGAATCCTGAAATGTGGGAAAAGGTTAAAAAGTTCAATAATTTCACTCTATTTTCCTTATGTCTTTTTTTTTTTGTTATTATCGCCCTAACCAAAGAGAAGGCCTTTATTAGGCAATTTTACCTCCTTTATATTTAATCATCTGAACAATATCTGAATGTTCGATTATGATTGCTTGATGGTTTTTTTCCTTTGTCATAAATCAAAAATTTCAACAGCACCTCATCGTAATACACTGAGTGGACTTTAAGAGTTCGCTGGTTTTCCAGATGAATTAATGTTGCAAATTCACTGAAAGGGTCTAATGATACGAACTACTCCCCTTCCAGATTCGTTTCAACGTTCAGCCATCTCCAAAAAGTTTGCTTTTTCTCTTTTTTTTTTTTTTTTTTATTATTTTATTTTTAGAAATGAAACATTACAAAATAAATTAGGACAGCTAAAATTAGGTTATCCCAAAATCCATTTTTAGGATACAAAAATAATCTACTTACTGGCCTCAGTTTGGTTGTCTCTGTTTAGATTATACACCTGCAAACAAAAAGAGAGGCAATTATTTGCATTATGAAGCTATAAAATGATTTTTTTCCCCCAACAATTTCAACAGCAAGTTGTTAAATTGTGTGTTTATACAAAAACATGCAACAAGAACATTATTATCTTTATAAATGTTGGATTTAGCATAGCTTGTGATTCAAAATGTAATTCATGCATTAAATGAAATATAGAAAATCTGCAATACAGCAGTTAAGATGAGAGCAGCAACATTTGAAATACTTTTTTAAAGTGCTAAAGTAGCAGAGGTCATTTAGAAGGTTGGTAAAAAAAAATTCTTTTTAAAAATCACATTTTCTTGTTTTGGTTTAAAAAAAAAAAGACTACAAAGCAAAGGTTTGATTAAAAAGCAAAGAGATTGAGACTGCATTGTGTCTGTAGTTGTGCTACATTCATGCTAATGTTGATTTAATGTTCTGAAAAGTGTGTAGGGATATTATTTTGAGCATTTCAGGAGAAAAAGAACCCAAATTTGAAACAGAACAGACAAAACAAAGAGGGTTTATTCTGGCAGCTAAACTGTGCAGTAATATGGAAAAAGTTTCCGCACCCCTTCCATGCTTCTCATATTTTGTCACAGACCGAGCAACAACTGTCCATTTACTTTTAGGAATCTTACAACGACTAACCAATTTTGGTTTGATGAATAGAAAGGAAACAAAATAATGTTTGTTTTTCATGCCTCTTAGGATTGGTGTCATCAACTTAATAATGCAAATATGAGTGTACAAGTGCTTGTCTCTGATTGGTTCCTAGAAGACGACGGAGATGTCCAATTGGTGCCTTCTGGAGGTGACGGATAGAAAAGCTGCAGAGGCGGACTTCCCACCCACCATCCTCATCTCATCTCAACCAGCCACACAGTTTGTCTGTTAACACCATGTAAAGTTTTGGAGTTTGCAATCGGTCTCCGTCAGTCACGTGACATTTGTTGCTAAGACGCCATTTTTGGTGGAAAAGGCGTAGTGTAAACAACCGCAGCATAGCTAAACGAAGGACTAAAGGATTGAGTTTGTTTCTCTGACTATATGGAAAAAAGTAAGCATAATGCGAAATAACCGTACGGTGTCGTGCCAAGGTAGTTATCCCTGCGAAAATTTGTATCCCCTCGTCGGGAGCGCGCACAGAGTAGGAAGAAAAGCCCGAGTTAAGTCCGCTTCAATTCCAACGTGCAGAACTTTAAATTTGAAAGGGTGTACGTGTATGAAAGTTGAGCTTTACTGTTTTATTCTTTTACTTCACATGTTTTAGCAGAATATCGCCAGTGATATTGATCTAAAACTAATAATAAAACACAAACGTTTGCTTGAAAGCTGGTCGCTGACAGCAGTGTCTACTCCTCCCTCTGAAAGCAAACAGATCCTTGTTCTTTTTCACACGTTCCTTAAAAAAATCTCTCATTGTTTCAGTGTCCAAATGTTCTCATCCCATTGAAAACTGTTGTAAACCATATACTTGTAATAAAAATGAAATAGAAAATGGAGTGCACGTGTAATCATTAAAGACTATATGCAGAAGGAAAATTATTTTTTCCTGGTTGAAATTTAGTACTTAAATCTATATCTGTGTTTACAGTAACGTACAATTTATCTATGTTGTACTATCCTTAATAAACAGTTTGTCTTCTAACATCAGCCGTTTTATTTCATCCCATTTTGCCACAATTGGCAATATGGGATGAAATAAAACCTGCTGTAATCTGTTCCCCCTGTCTAAATCAGGCAAAAAAGGTCCCAGCTTTTTCATTTTTGGCTTATAAGCATCATAAAAGATGCTTATAAGCCAAAATGCTTATTCCCCCCTTATAACTTTAAGAAATAAAGGTCCATCACATCCAAAGTTTCAGGAGTTAGTTGTCATCATAACAGATGTTTATAAGCCAAAAATGAAAAAGCTGGGACCTTTTTTGCCTGATTTAGACAGGGAGAACAGATTATAGCAGGTGGCCTGCTATAATTTGTTCCCCCCTTGTAACTTTAAGAAATAAAGGTAAATCAACTCCAAAGTTTCAGGGGTTAGTTGTCATCATAACAGATGTTTATAAGCCAAAAATGAAAAAGCTGGGACCTTTTTTGCCTGATTTAGAAAGGGGGAACAGATTATAGCAGGTGGCCTGCTATAATTTGTTCCCCCCTTGTAACTTTAAGAAATAAAGGTAAATCAACTCCAAAGTTTCAGAGGTTAGTTGTCATCCTAAAAGATGTTTATAAGCCAAAAATGGAAAAACTGGGACCTTTTTTGTCTGATTTAGACAGGGGGAACAGATTACAGCAGGTTTTATTTCATCCCATATTGCTGGTTCTGGCAATATGGGATGAAATAAAACGGCTGATGTTAGAAGACAAACTGTTTATAAAGGATATTGTACAACATAGATAAATTGTACGTTAATATAAACACAGATATAGATTTAAGTACTAAATTTCAACCAGGAAAAAATAATTTTCCTTCTGCATATAGTCTTTTATGATTACACGTGCACTCCATTTTCTATTTCATTTTTATTACAAGTATATGGTTTACAACAGTTTTCAATGGGATGAGAACATTTGGATACTGTGAAACAATGAGAGATTTTTTTAATGAACGTGTGAAAAAGAACAAGGATCTGTTTGCTTTCAGAGGGAGGAGTAGACACTGCTGTCAGCGACCAGCTTTCAAGCAAACGTTTGTGTTTTATTATTAGTTTTAGATCAATATCACTGGCGATATTCTGCTAAAACATGTGAAGTAAAAAAATAAAACAGTAAAGCTCAACTTTCATACACGTAAAACCTTTCAAATTTCAAGTTCTGCACGTTGGAATTGAAGTGGAGTTAAGTCGGGCTGTTCTTTCTACTCCGTGCGCGCTCCCGACGAGGGGATACAAATTTTCGCAGGGATAACTACCTTGGCACGACACCGGGACTGGCAGCCTCTCACACAACACGATCGTGTCATTTCTGGTAAATAATTGTGCCGAAAGAACAGCCGCGTGTGGGTTATCTCGACTTTCCACGTAATATGGTGGTTTTCCCACGATGCACCGCGCCCGAGGTAAACATTGACGTCACCTGGCGCAGACCGATAGCGAGCTGCCGTTTATGTTTTCTTTGTTTTCTGATGTTTTTCTTAATTAGGAAGGTACATTTTTGTCATTTTGTTTTACACTGCTGGGGGTTTGCTCCTGTTAAAATGAGTTTTTCCTCTCCACTGTCGCTATGAGCATGCTTGGTGTGAGGGATTGTCTTCCAGTCAATGAATTGATGCTATCAGCTGGTTTTCCTTAGATAGAAAACTTTGAATCAATCTGACTGTGAGATCTGGTTGAATTGTAATGTCACTTAAAATTCAATTCAATGTGAATTAGCACTATATAAATACACTGAATTGAATTTACTTTTAATTAGGTAAGTTTTGATTAATATTCAGATAGTTTCCTGTTGTTTTTGGCATTATATCTCACTCTGAAGTCACTTGTAATGCCCTAATCAAGAATAATAAAGAATAACATCTTTTTAAAATAAATAACATTATAAAATGTTCAATTACGTGTTTGTGGCTGTTTGGGATCCGAAGAGGATGGATCCTTCATGCTTACAACTTTGCCACCTCTAGATGAGTTTGTAGCAATATCGTTTATAAATGTCTGAATAACGTGCATTTATATTTCACTTCTCCCTTCAGATGATAAACAGCAAAATTTGCCGTCTATTCTCTAGAGTAGGTTTAACAGCCTTACCCATTTATTGACTACAAATCCGAAAACATCAGTTTCTTCTCATCTGATAAAAGCATTCTACTGATTTTTCCTTAACATAGCTTCTAGCTAGCTTCTACTTCATATGGCTTCCATTCAGCAATAAAGTTTTGCAGATTCTCTGCTTTGTTTACTAAATAGTTAACTTCTGACTGCAGTGCATTGGATACATTTATATATTTTATTATAAAGTATGGACAATGTATTAAAAAACTGTATTTTTAAAACGTTTATTTTTTAAAACACACGCCAACAGATGCTCCAAAAGAACAGAATTCTTTCTAAAACATGTTTAGATTAAACAGGTGTGTTAGGCACTGCCGAACCTTATTTTCATAAATGTTTGAAAGCAAAGTTAAAATCCATAAATTGTTGATTAAAACGATTTTTTTTTTTTTTTGGGGGGGGGCTTGATCCGGCTGTAATGTTTGAAGAGTTTGTGCTGATTACTTCATGACAGCTACAGAGCAAACATGTCTTAACAATAAAGCCGGGTTCACAGACGAGGCTGAAAACGCAAACATTTTATTTCACAACAGCTCTCCTGGACTCAGCAGCTGCACGTTGCAGCTTGCATGGACTCAGTTACTTCTCCTACTTGCATGAGGAGTTGAGGGAGCTGTTGGGACATGAATGGTTTTGAGTGTGGGTGCAGTGAGCAGCACTAAAACAATTGCTTTGGGCTAAAAAAAATATTTATAAATAGGTAAGCCAATCAAATGTAGTCACTTTCTTTTACGTGTGAAAAAGTTGTGCAAAAGCTCAGAGGACATGATGTCCCCTTCTCTCTTCTTTTGTCTCCATCACCGGTTGTCTTCGTCATGTAAGCACAAACTAGTAGCCATGGCAACCTACCGGTTCTCTACCATCCATAGCCTCCATCCACAACCTGCGATCCTCCTCTGACAGAGCCTGCATGGTGATAATGCCTTGCCTGCACTCACACACAAACACACGCATAGAACATTAGCTTTTCATATGTTTAAGTTATGAACATTTTCATCTAAAAGCTGGTAAATCAACACATTTCCCAATACTGGCCAACTCCACATGAAGTAACCCATGCAGATACCGGACCCTGCACATGTATACATGCATTATAAGTAGACAGTGACATAAATCAAGACACGCTTTGATTTAACTCAGATAAAATCAAATAAGATCAGAACGCTCCCTGAAAAGTTCATCAGCTAATAAGCATTCAACTTCATTTCACTGAAACTATCAGGCTAATCATCCTTAGAGGGGCAGGGTTTATTGTGCGTTCTCAGACCTCTGTCGATCACACCGTCTCATTAGCCAAATTTGTCTCTGTCTTCTGTCAAGTTTGCAATCGATCCTGCACCGGTCACTCTGTCAGCAGGAGCACATTGATCTTGTTGTTGCTCCTACTCTTTATGCCAATCATGATCCACCGCTCCAATACAGGACATCGCTCATTGGGACACTCAGAGTGCACCGACACATCCTGGGCCCTCAGCTGTTTAAATGGGTCCAACTTTTCAGCTTTTCCATAGAACCATGGAGGTTTCGAGTCAGGAAGATGTATAAAATAAGAGACTGGCTCTGAGTTACTGGGTCAACTGCAGCCCAAAGTGTTTTTCAAAAGAGATTTATAAGCATTCTATAAATAAAAGGATATTAAAAAAAGGGACTTTAAATGGATCACATACAAAAATAAAAATAAAAATAAAGAAGAAGGTGGAGGAGGAACAGGCATAATGCCCGGAATAGCACTGTGCCATCATGCTTATTCTTGATTAACACAATAGCGCCCTCACATGTCTAAGGAGGGAAAATACAGCCTTTACAAAAAATAAAACTTTAGGAATCAGCTTTAAAAAAACCTCTGACAAAAGTGCACCAAAAAATATTAAAAGATCATAAAAATGTTTAACTTATTTGGTTATGTAGAGTCAGCAAATCAAAGAAGATGATCCTGTAGCTGCTAGACAGGAAGTCATGCTGTGATCTCTGCTCCTGCAGTGCTACTTTGTCTTAACTTAAGTAAAAATGAGAACCTTTCTTTTTTCTGAATATGATTTAATATGAATTTATGTCAAATTGTAGGTTTTCTCCTACTCAGCAGATACTCAGGGTAATAAATACGTCAGTAAATCAAAACTAAGGTCACAACATAAAACGCTAATTTAAGTTGAAGGAAAAGTGCCACGTAAGGAGATGCAGAACCAATAGAGCTATCACAGGATTCTAAAGCAAATTCTAATAAAAAATATTGGGGGAAAATTATGGAATATTTTCATTATTCTATTTCTGTGAGAAACAGAGTCTTGGGTTATATTAATATTTAAATTTAACTATAGACTTAAATGTTTAATGATATTGGATTTTACTTTCAGATTCACCAAAAATTTTATATTAAAGGGATAACCGGCTAGATGAAAAATTATTTTAAGAGCTTATCATTTAAAACAAAATGAAACAGTTAATCAGACACTAACCTGTCCACGGCCTCAACGTCAAAACAGAATCTCTTCTCTATGGATTCTGTCTTCCTCCTTGTGCACGACTTTAGGATGAAGCTCTCCTCCTCCCCCTGACAAATAAAATGCACTATGGTAGGTGGTATAATAATAACACTCATCAGAACATGCACTTTAAACAATAATGTTCCTGATGTTATTTTTTTTCCCCGCTTTGTTTCATTCTGATGCTAATTAGATACTTCAAGCATTGAATGTTTCATACTTCAGTAATGTTCTACAGTCTTTTAGATAAAATTCAGATAAAACATTAATTTGTGGTTGTAACAAGAGAGAAGGTGAAAGTCTAAGTGGTTTGAGATAATTTATCAGATGGCTGGACAAATACTGACAGATTAATGACAAACTCACCATTTTACCCCCAGATTTTGGGTCAAACCCAACCATGGAAAACCTCTTAGGCTCACGGTAGTAGGTGCAGTAGTACTTTACCCAAGTTGATACGAAGGAACCTGAGAAAAGAAAAACAAGAGGTGAGAAAGAAAGAAAGAAAGAAAGAAAGAAAGAAAGAAAGAAAGAAAGAAAGAAAGAAAGAAAGAAAGAAAGAAAGAAAGAAAGAAAGAAAGAAAGAAAGAAAGAAAGAAAGAAAGAAAGAAAGAAAGAAAGAAAGAAAGAAAGAAAGAAAGAAAGAAAGAAAGAAAGAAAGAAAGAAAGAAAGAAAGAAAGAAAAGGCTGAATCAGGCCTGGATTAGAGATAATATTGGCTACCATGGAAACGACGTGGAGCAGAAGCTGTTGTCAGGCCTCCAACAGATCAGACATGACAGGTTTAACATCCTGACAGATACCAAGGCAGTCTTTTTACTCACGCTTCTCCAGAACGAACAGGTAGCCCTCCATGGTGTGCTGGCTGACGCTCTTGTGTTCATGAGGGTTCTCCTTCATCTTCCTCATCAGACTTTCAACCTCAGAACGGGTGCTCTCAAAACGGTTCCTCGTCTGTAAGCAAACATTTAGAGGAGCTGAGACTTCGACATTTTATAATTCACATCAGCTAAGTATTAGATTTTCCTGTGACTGCAGATACAGATCTTTTAAAAACCCTTCAGTGAAACAACCTGAAGAATTCCTACTGAGGGAATCACTGTAGAATCTTAAGCTTAGCAAAAGTCAAGCTTTTCTGTCTACAAATATATACTGTAAATTCTTCATCATGATTGATTATTTAAAACAAAACATCAGCAAATTAAGTAGAGGTATATATTTGCCAAAGTTTTAATCATGAATAGAAAAACCTGCAGTTACATTGCATGCCCAAGTCTCCAAGCTACCTATTAAAGGTTTGCCCAAAGCATCACTTATCCCCCACCATGCTTACCAGTGGGTAGGAAGTGCTAAATTATTGATGGCTTACAGGATGGCAAAATGCTTAAAATATTCTATATCAACAAAAAAAAACTTTGTTGATAGTGCAAACTTCATCAGGTCAAAAGTCTGATTAGTGTTAGTATATTTGTTTTGGGGTTCTTACATTCTGTATGCTGATAGTGAGATCAGTCTTGAAATGGTTGAAGTCCTTTGCGAGCTCATAGCCATGGTGATAGTAGGTGAACAGGCCTTGTAAAAATGCCAACAGCTGAAACAAAGTGCGAAAAACACAGGGGAATTATGGGAAGAAAGGATAAAAAAAAATAAAAAACAAACAAAACAAACAAACAGAAGAAATCAAATATCAGAAATATTCAACATTTCCTGAATCAGTTTCTGAGAAAAGTTTGCAAAGAGTTCTTTACTTCCTAGAGAAAACGAATAAAAGTTGTTCAGAGGAACCAACAAATTAACTTAATGTAATAAAGACCAGTCAGCAAAGGAATTAAAGGAACCTTTATATTGTTTAAAGGCTAAAAATAGAAAAAGAAAAAAAAATCTGTGCTTTCTTACAGGCTCCACAAAGTCAAACATCTTCCTCTCTTGAACCTCTTGAACCTTAAAAACGTACTCCAGAGAAACTTCATAGAAATGCTGCCTGACATGATCAACCTGGTTGTCTGCCTGGAACAGAAAAAGGAAATGGATACGACGATCAATGTGGGAGGTTGGGAGACAGATGACAGACGTGGACTCAAAGAAATTGCCTTACTTCATGTAGGTGGGACTCTTTTTTCTTTGCTGAAAGGCTTAGATGCTTCTCCAGCACCGCACAATATTTCTCTGTCTCTTTGTCGTACTTCTTCTTGGCTTCCTGTCACAAAGAAATCCAAAGAAGACATTTTTTGATCAGTCTTCATGTATCCTGCTCTCTTCCTGCAGGCTTGTAGATCAGTTTCTCCACTTTTGTAAAATGCAATTTTTGGTTGAGCAGCAGAGTCGAGTATGATGCTGGTAGCCATGACAACATTGTCAAATCGTCTCTGTTAAAAAGCTTTTGTTGGAGGCAGTGAGGAGGGTATGGACCAGTGTCTCCCTAACTGGGAAAACAAGGCGTGTCATCAGATTAAGTAATGAGATGAGATTTTGCGACAGTAGAAATTCTCCATCTGAAATCTTAGGGGAGGAACTTGTTCATTCCTGGTACAGTAGAGCTAGGTTTATTAGAGATCTCCAGAGTTTGGGATTGAGGCAGATCAAATGACCTGACCTTAAGGAACCATTTTGGATCAGCTTGGAGGTTTTGTTTATGCCAAAATGACAAAGTGTTGGTTGGAGCTGTCAGGGCTCCTGTCTGTGTGTTTGTTTTTGTGTTTGTCATCCTTCCACCAACAAGAGGCGCCTGATTACAGTTCGCCTCCTCACACACCTGCTGACGGTTACCTTGTTTACGGAGTGCTCTTAAGCGGCTGATTGCCACTACCTCAACGCCAGAGTGTTTGCCAGTTTTTGGTTCTCTAGCCAAGCTGAGTTTTAGCTGAGTAAGACTGAGTTCTTGTCTCCCTGAGTTTTAACTTTGTTTTTGTCTTTGCCTCTCAGCAGGAAGTCTTCCTGCAAACTGGACCTTTTCGGACCTCCTCTCCCAGGAGGGATCAACTGAGCCTTAAACTGAGCAACGGGTTCCAAACAGGAGGTTTGGATCCAGTCTCCTTTTTGAGGACGTTGTAATTACTCTCTGAGCAAGGGAATCATCTTCACCAAGACCCGTTCAAGTACAGCAGGAAATCTGAGTGGCAATCAGCGTCTCCGTTCACCTACACCGTCCGAGTTCTGGATAAACCCTGTTCCACCCTCCGCCGAATCAGACATACACTGGAAAACCAACACACAGATTGGAGCCAAGGATCCTTCAGTTCTCTGGAAACGTGAGTCAACAATCAGATCCTCTCCTTCAAGATCAACAAATCAAATTTCCCACTGAGCCTGAACTAACAGTCTGTCTTCCCCTCGCCTTCCAGTTCCGGCTGAACAGAGTTCGGAGAAACTCTGCACCGAGCTTAACATCTTCAATAAAATCCGTCAAACTTTTCATCTGTTTCTCTCTGTTTGGACTTCCACATTTTGGGTCAGTCCTTTAGATAAAATCATGACCGGAGCATTTCACCAAGCAGTTATGGTTCTCAGATTATGGTTCTCCCTCATGTGGAGGCTGTGTTTACAGACAAAATAAATGATTAAATGACCAAATGTGGATGTTACTTCAAACTTTAAATAACCACTTTATTAATGCATGTAGAAAATGTGCTCTTAATTTAGCAAATGCACACAAATAAACACATTAAACTTTGCTCTTTAACCCACTGATACCTCTCCTTCATATTGTGTCGAAATGGAACTGAAAATACATTTGTCATAAAATATCCACCTAACATTCTTCCCTCCTTTTATTGAATAAAAGTAATTATTTAAATGATTACAAACAGGTACAAACTGTAACAAAATTATGAATAATAAATACAAAAACAAACATTGATATTTAATTCCAGTACCATTTTTAAAATATGCAAGGAACCAGAAGCATAGGGCAAATAAATATATTTAGTGATTAAATCTTAGACTTAAACTATACTTACGGCAGGTATGGTTCTTTAGGAGAAAGGACTAAAGTTGGTTAAAAGTATTTTAGGCTAACTTTACAGAAAACCCTCAAGACTCTGGAAACCACAGAAATCCTGCATTCTGAGAGAGCACAGGCATCTTAGCATAATAAGGAACTAAGGGATTTTCCAGTGAGGTCAGGTTATTAAGAGCTTTGTAGCTGAGAAAATTATTCAGGATAAATGTTGAACTGCAGGGAGAAGTAGTGCAAACAGTCCCATACAGGAGAGATATGGGCTCATCGTCTGTCAGCATGTTTCCTTTTTTAATTTACAAATATGGCATTTATGCAGACTAACCCGACAAAAAGATTTAGCCACATTTTAACTTGCAGCTGTTTTATTAAAAGAAGTGCTGCAGATTTTCTGATTTCCTGGAAAGAATATTTCAGGAGTCAGTGAGAATCTGGGAGCCCAGCTGTTTGTCCAAAAAAAGTATTTCAGCACATGGACAAAGAAACATGGTAGGATGATGAGTTGGTTCTAAAACTATGAGCCGAAAAATACTGAGGAAAAAGGAAATGCACAAACCGAGCAACAAAAAGCTGTGTCTTTCCTCCGGGTTTGAGTGGGAATTAGAAAACAGCTGCAGACCATATCAGGAAGGGTTAGTGTTGCTCATAACAACAGATTCTCTGTTCAAAGTTTGCCTCTTCGATTCTCTATAGACGCCCATTCTAAAATAGCAACTTCTGTTTAAGATCTAATACAGGTTTCACATAAGTAAAACAAATAAAAATAGTAAAGTGTTCAAATCTAAATTGCTCTTCTGGGCTTTTTTCATAATTCTACTTTAGTTTTGCTGAAGTGACAAAAGTTTAAGTAAAAAAATAAAAATTAAAAAAAAAGTGAGACAGAAGTGAAAATATTGGAACTACCAGCAGGTGGCAGTATGATACAATAGATGAGGATGTTACCTTTACTAGAGCAAAGAAATGTTTTACACTAGCTTAAGGTCACATCATATCTATAATAAAGTCATAAACAGCACATCTAATATGCCCAAAAAAAGAGAAAAAAATGTTAATTACTAGATTATTAACCCCAGTGTCTTCCAGAAAACCTTCACTTTTTCATTTTGTCTTGTTAAATTCTAATATATCCAGTTTTATCAAGCAGTTTTTAGTCCAACAACTTTTAATAACTAAGGTTATGGGTTTTTTTGTGACTAATTATTAGTCCAATTATTAATCCAAACAAAAACAACAATAAAATCCACTCTTTTTGCCTCAACCCGCAGTTAAAAATTCAACAACAGTTAAAGGGAATTTGAATAGGAAGCCTACCTAGAGAACGGAAGCCAGACTGCGGGAGCTGCATCCATTTTTCAATTGGCTGCTGGGGATATTTATGTGAGAATAATCTGCTGTATGCTCTATTTGTCACAAAAGGTTCTGATCCTGCTTAAACCTCCCAAAACCTCATAGGAAAATATATTATTGTCTAAGGGAGCCAAACCAGAACGTTTGTGAAAAATTTTTAAACACACCGCTGTGTTTCAGCCAAAAAACACCTTTCCCACTATAAAGCAGGGTGGAGACTCCGTCATGCCCTGGGGTTCTCGGGTTTTTCATAAGAAATGGCATCAAAACCTCGTATATATGGATAACTTTTGCAGGATAGATGAACATCATCATATCAAACTGTGACATTCCGACATTCTCCAATCAAAAAAGGCCAAATATTGAAATTAAAAGGGAGACATGATAAGAAGTTTAAAGCAAATGTTAGTTTAAGGGCGAGGTTTGCTTCTGCAGGATGTGGTTCCAGATTTTATAATTTTTTGTTATTTCACCCCTAACTAATGTGTGTTTTTCTATTGCGTTACACAGGATGAACTTTGCATTAATGGTAGAAAATACCTGAAAATGATTAATCCTGAATAAATCTTTAAATGCCAAAGCTGGAATTGTAAAGGTTGTATTGAGACCAAGCATTGTTTGTGCTGCTGATTGTTGCGTCTCAGTTCATTTATTGAAATAATTCCACCATTGGTGTAAGAAAACAGGCAGCAGCCTCATATTAGGATCATTTGTTCTTCAGGTCTGTCAACATTTGATTTTACTGCGAGGCAATTGTTTGAAATCATTTTTTGTGGGATGCATTTGGTTAATTGAAATTCACCCGGGAATAATATTACAATCTAGACCTATTGTATGAAATTTGCAACCCTACAGATGGAGCTTATTTTTTTATTTAACAAATAAACTCTGTGGCAGATCTTAAATCATCTCTAATCTCTATCTTCTAATGGTAGTATTATCATATAATTCAATTTTTCCTAACTTCATCAAACATGCAGTAACCGTGCCAAGATCAGACAAAACCCTGCAACACAGGATTGATAAACTGTTTATTTAAAATATATGTTACTTAGAACTCCTGCTGCTACATATTTAGATCCTTTGGCTACTGACCGCATGGATCAAGCACATGTGACCTAATCAAGTCAGATTATAATCTGTAATATTTGGCACATGGGGGAGGGTTTTTAGGGGGGGAAAATGATATACTGGTTTGTTTTCTTTGTGTTTAATGTTCTAATGCAAGAACATATACCCTTGATCAGGGGAGAACTGCTATTTCTGCCCTTTTAATTAAAGCAGCAATATATATTTCCCAAATCTGTAATTTAGGTCATTTTATTGTCTTCAGGGAAAGACAAATACTGCAGCACAGGTCAGTTGGGGGTTGGGGTCTGCAAGGAAGCAGTGTGAGTATATGGGCATGGCTTACAATGCTCCTGGTTAACTGCTACTTCTGCTGGGTTGAAATCATCTAAAGTTTTGCTTGACTGTTTACATACCATCCCATTAAAGAAAATTAGAAATTCACATTAGTAATTCAAATAAAACAGAACTGGAAAAAGTAATAAAAAAATTATTAAATGACAATTTAGTATTAATTAAATGTTTTTACAGCATTCCTCCATAATCGTGAATATATGTAACCGGTCTGATGGTTGAATAACCTAAATAATAAATTAAATTGAAAAAATATATGTGGTGTTCTGCTCATAGGGATGACATTTCTTAGATTATTGAACAAATGTCATACTCAAAACCCTTTTATTATGATAGAAGGGTTTTTTAGTTTAAAAGTTGGTACATTTGATAAACTTTGTTTTGGATTAAAATGGGATTTGACAGACAGACAGACAGACAGACAGACAGACAGACAGACAGACAGACAGACAGACAGACAGACAGGCAGATAGATAGATAGATAGATAGATAGATAGATAGATAGATAGATAGATAGATAGATAGATAGATAGATAGATAGATAGATAGATAGATAGATAGATAGATAGATAGATAGATAGATAGATAGATAGATAGATAGATAGATAGATAGATAGATAGATAGATAGATAGATAGATAGATAGATAGATAGATAGATAGATAGATAGATACTAGCTGACATTGAGTTTTCATAAGTATTTTTGCTTGCTTTTCATTAAAACATATCTATACTATTTTATTAAGGCTACATAAAGGCTAGAACCTTCATCAGGGTTTGTGTGTGGTCCAGCGGCCACAAGAGCATAAAGAGGCTTTATTGATTAATGTCTCACAGCCACTGGGGACACATCAATACTCATCTACAGCTCATTCAATGTATGATCATTTCTGTGACTGGTGCTGTGGTTGATTGTTGTTGCTCTTCTTACCTTTGCTGCACTGATCTGCTCTTTCCTGAACCTCTCCAGCGGAGTAATCAACACGTCATTGGCGTTTTCAATCTACAGTGGGAGGTAAACAGACAGACATGTTTTCCAGTCAGCGGCGGTATATGTCACAGCTTGCATGATTTACATTTGATACATTTTGATCTTTTACTAATGATCTAACCAAGAGAAGCCAAACATGGATGGATGGATGGATGGATGGATGGATGGATGGATGGATGGATGGATGGATGGATGGATGGATGGATGGATGGATGGATGGATGGATGGATGGATGGATGGATGGATGGATGGATGGATGGATTGGACGTAGCCAACTTTTATATAATGGCATAGTGCAGTGATTCCAAACTGGGGGTACTCGTACCCCTAGCAATCCACGACTGCCATGCAAGGGGTACATGAATATATGTTATTTATTTGGAAGTAGAATAAAATAGGGCTGGGATCTGTTTTGCTTTGTGAGGACCAAATAGAAAAATTAAACAAGCTTTTATCAACTAAAAAGTAAGTTTTTCTTATGTTTATAGTTGGAAGATGATGCAAAGCATAAAATGCATAAGAATTAAATGTTCAAATTAAAAAATTACGTAAAATTGTTTTTATTTTATAATCAGCTATTTACGTTCCACTTTTGGACAATCATCAATATTTTGACTAAGAGGGGAACTCATGGTAGAGTAAAATTCATAAATGGCTACACAAGTCAAAAAAGGTTAGGAAACACTGGCATAATGAATTAAGTCTGCAAATGTTAATGATAGAAGTATTTTTATCCTAATAGTTATCTAGATCTAGATATTTAAATTCTAGACCCTCTTACTTTTCAGGATTACACTGGATTCTCTTATAACATAAAGTCTACATGCTAAGACATGCTGTAAACAAAAGCTTTGACTCTCAAAGAGGCCAAAATGTTACAAGTGAATATAAAGATGATACCATATAGAGAACTATATTTTTTTGGTTATGAGCAAAGATCTTAGTTCATCATAGAGAAAAAAAAAACATTATGAAGCAGATGCAAAAAAGTAAAAAAATCCAAATATCCTAAAAGTAACCAGCGGTAATATATTTTATGCATGTTTGAAGGTTACTCACCATCCTTGTCCTCTCATCCTCCAGGTTTTGTAGGACAGCTGCAAACTCCTGAAGCGACTTGGCTGAGGAGGGTAATGTCGCCAAAATGAACATGAGAAAACAGAAAAAAATAATCATAGAAACAATAGGTTTGTTTGTCGTTAAAACAAAGGTGGTGAGATAAAAGTACAGTGTTCATGTTAACGGATCCTTTAGAAATGTCTTTAAAGTCGTCATGATGCAGCTCTCAGATTAACTGAATATCAATCCATTACTCAGAGGATCAGTTGCTATGGTTTCATCATGGAGAACATAGCTCTGAATCCTGATCATTGGCAAGAGTGTCATGGTTTTGGTTCTGTTTAAGTTTTATCTTTGAGTTTTCATTTTTTAATTTCTATTTTGTGGTTCTCATTATATTTGATTGTATTTGAGTTATTTGGTATTTGTTGTTTGCAATCTTGTATCAGTCTCCTTTTCTATAGCTCCCTTCTAGACTCCTCTGTCCACCTCTGCTCCCAATCTACTGATTAGCCTGATCTTTGTTTCTGTCTCCCATATATACACCTCCTGCTCAGTCATTTCAGTACTTTTGCATTTTGTGGATTATGTTTGTAGATTTTTGATTCTGTTATCCTTTTTGTAATTAAATCTGCAAGAAACCACTTCAGCTTCAGTCTCTGCATTTGGGTCTTCTTCAAACCACCACCCAACCTGACAGAGACACTGCTACTGTACATTGTTTGGGTCAGAGTTTCTGCCTCTGCCTGTCAAACACTTCAGGTGCAAATGTAAACACAGGCACTCTTCTTATTGTACTTATTACATGCAGAAATTGGGAGTTCTTGTAAAAATGTCACGTTCAGAAATATTATTTAAAATGAAGCTTGATTTTAAATACAGCTAGCCCAAATATCTTAAACCAGTCACATGGAATAAAAGCAAAATAAGAAGCGTTGACATGCAGCAACAGATCACTGTAGAAGGGAGAATAGCAGTTCTGACATGTCTATGAATACTATGAAACAACAGCTTGGCCCAGTTGAACAGCAAGCTGTTCAGGAAAGATAGCTGGGGATAGTTAAACAACAGCAGTGGGTGGGTCAGAGCGGAGCAAAGAGCCGTGGCCTGCACAGACAGAGCTGGGCAGCCATGAGAGGGGTGTGGCGGCTGCGCTGCTACAGACACAGCAGGATGTTGGAACAGGAACAATCCAGAGAAGCAAACCGTTGGACTGTAACAGCTTTGTTCTAGAACAGAACCACATAGGATTAGGCCGATCCCTAATAGTGCATTATGTTCAAAGTACTGGTATAAAATCAGTTGGATAATAGGATGAGAAAAGGCCTGGATTCGCTAAGAAACATCACAATTCATTAAACTTTATAGAACTCTGCAACAAAGAAATACATAATTTTTTGATACCCTCTCTACCCACATGGAGGACTAATTACTGCCTTACTTGTATGATTTGAACAGAATCAGAATCAGACAACAAGAGGTAGGCCAGAGACGATGGTCAGCTAAGTAGATTAACAGATTTCATTGTGCACAAAAGAGCTTCAAGAAAAAAAATCAACAACACCAATAGACAAACATCCTGTAGTGTCATGATTTAACAAGATGTGCAAAGAAAATAGGTTTGAATAGGGCTTTATCCTTAATAAATGAACATCAGAAAAACCAGAGCACAAAACCAAAAGCAGAAGACTTCTGGCATTCTTTATTAGATCTCAATAACTGCCTCTATTTTAAAAAAAATTATTTCAAAAGAGAGGAGAGAAAAATTGTAAAATGACTCTATATGCCCCTTAATATCATCTGGAAGTACATTAACTAAAAATAAAAGAGATACAAAAGATATTTGACACTGCATTCCTCAATATTGGCTTCAATGTTTTGCAAACTCTGCACATCAAGATAACTTAATATAAACTGAGCTGTAATCTAAAAATAGATCATGTGGAAACTGGAGACAGAACAGGCTAATCAGATCCTTTTGGAAAGCATTCTTGTCATTTTTGTATCGGCAGACTCAAATGACGGCTGTTTCAGTACTTAACAGTTATGTCCTTTTCTAAAGTATTCAGCACATTGATGCAAACGATAACACCCACCTATGCATATTTCGTCATCCGTCTCAGCATCTCCAATACACTGGAATTTGAAGTCATTGAGGGAGTCAGCGAACTTCCTCTTTGCCGTTGACAAACCTAACGGAAAAGAAACGAGAAAAAAAGTTAAGTAATTTAAGCCTCTTATAAATGATATGTATTTTGAAAAGAATAAAAAGTGAAATTAGAGAATAATTCAAGAATCTGTTGCATTGAGTCCACCACATTTTTATGTAAACGTTACCTAAAAGAAATAGTTGCTGTTTTCAGAATTTATTTCATATAAATCTATTTTTCTGTAGTTATGTTTGTGCAGCAAAGTTTCATATTAATCTCAAGGGGCCGTAAGAATACTCCAAGTATGTAAATAAAACATGAGGGGCTAAAAGCTCCAGGCAGATAGACACTGGCAGCCTTCTAACTCACGGGCAGATTTGGCCTCACTACAGCATTTCCTGTTGGGCTGGCTGAGGTCAGCCGCACGCACAAGCTCAGAGTGAAAGGGGCAGGATAAAGAGGAAGGCACAAACTATAACACATTATTCAAACGTCTTTTAGAAACCACACGTGAAGGGGGGAGAGTCACCGAAACCAGGGTCTTGCATGCAATCCTGGGTAAGCAAATCAAGGCACTCAAGTAGACTTAAAATAATGACCATTTTATATGGTTGGTTTGGGGATAATATCTGCTCTTGCACTTTGGTGGTCAAAGAAGAAAGAGAAAGACTTAAAGGGGTAATATTATGGTGTGGTTAAACCCTGCAGGGAATTTCTACTGTTCAAGCAGTAGGACGTGTTCTGCAAGATTAAAATAGAAGGCACCGTTTTGACTCTAATGATAGTTTTACAAAAACAAAGATAGGATGTAATAGAAATGAAAAGAGGACAGATCATGGTTGTTGCAGAGACGTGTGGGAGTCATGGAAAGGACAGCGAGTGTTAAGAAGACAGACAGTAGTTGGCGCTCCTCATGTACATGCTGCAGAGTCTGCGGCGTTTGCCAATCAGAAATGAAGCCCAGGCCTCTTCAGTTATAATGGAGCTGCCAGAGTATTAGAGATGTTATTGGCACAGAGACGTGCATAATTTTCTCACTCGAGACTGACACACTAGATCATTCTAGTCACTAAGCAATGAGTCAGAGTGGCATTACTCAATCAACAATAAGTACGTATTACCAACCTGAAACCACTGTCCAAATTAAAATGCTAAGAACTCAAAGCCCTACATTATAGTAATTATATTGGTGTAGTGTCATTTAACAACCAAAGATTGTATAATAAAGGGATGAAGCCTCTACTCCACATTAGATACTGTAAATTAAATAAACATCTTTCCTGTGGTAAAAGCAAATTTAAATAGCTAGAGTTTCCCCCACCACATCAACTAATACCTATGTGAGTATTTCCAAAAAACACACACTCCAAAATGCTCAATATAAGTTGTCTTTATGACAGCATGATGTCCAGTTTCATCTTGAGGGATAAAGCAGGAAAACCGGGGTTTATAATTAAACCCGGGGCTATCAGGATATACTGTAGTTGTGCGTCTGGAACCAGGGGTGAAGTTTCCCCCCTTCATCTGCCAGTACAAAGAAAGCTTATCCAGATAGAGATTTAGCAGAACAAAAAAAAGAAATGGTACTCTCACTTTACCCTGAATCTCTGTGAGTGGAGTTTGTGACCTAGAGGAGTTCTTTCCGGCGTTTGTGAGTTCTTTGTGTTTCTATAACAAATTAATCTACCACAGACGCAATGGGCGGCTTGGGAAGCCACCCAATAACCATATCAGGAACAGCATAACAAATGGGAAAATCTAAAAAAAGAAAATGGGTCAACAAATGCAGCTAACAGTAAAACGTGTTACTATGAAACCATAATCAGGGTTCCTACAGCATAAGGCAAGTTAAATTCAAGACTTTTTAATGCCACTTGACATAAAAATTTAAGACCAAATTCACAAGAAACACAAGAAAAACCTGCTTGCAACAACTTAACCCAAAGGTTTATTTTAACATAAACCACTGCACTAAAGTTTCAAATTTTGAAAAGCTTCCCATACAGGAAGAAAGCTAAAAACACACAAATGAAAGAGATATTTTAACAATTTTTTAACTGAATTCACAAACTTTGTTTTAGCAGGGAACAAAACAAATCAGTTTTAAAGCCACAACATAACCAGTGCTAAGTCTTTTTTGCAGCTATTTTTCTTTGTATCGTTTTCTTAGTATGTTTGATTTGGTGAAAAGTGGAGGCGTTGCAGAGACAAGGGTGGAACAAAACTGAGAAATACCGGCTGTTTCTCTGTAACTCGATTTTGACGCTTTGTGTTTCACGCTTCACTGCCTTAATTCCCATCGTTCCAAGCTTAAATGACTTCTTGCACAAAATATACTGTGCCTCATGTATGTTCCCTGATACTGGTTTTAGCCATGGAGAAAACTCTTGGCTGGATAACCAATTTTCGTTACATATACACTTGCTCATATTTTCCAGACAAAAAGTTAATGGCGCATCTCCCAAATGTCCCGGCCGCAACAACGCTTTTATTGGTTCCGCTATCGGGACGGAACCAATAATGGCGAGCCATTTTTTTTTTTTATAATAAAAAAAATTTGTCAATTTTAACGTTTTATTTAGATTACAAAAATAAATCGTAATAAAAATAATCCTATTTATGATGTTTTCAAGATTAAGACCTACGAAAGACTGATTTAAGACATTTTAATACCAATTAAGGCCTTTATTTTATTTTGAAGAATTCGATGCCTTTTAAGACTTTTTAAGGACCCGCGGGAACCCTGATAATATGCAACAAAAAGAATGATTAGCAAGACATTCTAGGGTACCATCTGTACAATAAAGTTTGGTAATGAATTAGAATAAACGTTCAATTGCAGAGTACTTAAGCATTTGTTACGACTTTAAGGTAAAATCCAACCGTTTATTTGATCAAATGATACTTTAACGCTTATAGAGAACTTTGCAAAAATCCCACACTGAAGAAGAAATGATTGCAATGTTAAATGCTCTTGTTATAACAGCGTATGATGCATGGAAAAGTGCCTGTTTTCTATCACACATTTTTCACTAACCTTCTATTTGCTCTGTTTAAACAATGCATGAGGTAAATGTTTGCTGAATGGGTGGTCTTTGAAAAGTGAAAGGCGGCTCTGCCAGCAGTGACGTGACGGGTCATATTTCTGTGCATCGCCATCCTTAAAAACACACCCTAACTTTTACATGTTTGTTCGTCCTTCCTTACACTTGCGTTTCACCGCTACACCTTGCAAGTGAAACGTGCCTCACTTCTGTTCCCCTATCGCCTCTGACTCAAGCCTTTGCTCAAGTGGTCCCTCTAAAAATAATTAACCACAAACCAACGATTAAGACAACAGAAGCGTTCAGAAGACTTCAAGGGTTTTGAGTAAACTCTCATCACAGAATACGCTTTGTGGCAAGGGCCCGGATGGTTTATACTCTAAACATAGTCAAATATAGTTTCTGAACTTTGAGGTGACTATCCCATATATAAACATGCAATACAGTGCAGTTGACTATAATATAATTACCGTACAAGTATTTCATTGGATCATGCAGTACAGCCATTAAAAAATGAAGGTACTGTAGTACATATATAACTACTTTTAACACTAAATATTTGACAAATTCTAGAAATGAGAGTTACTTGCAAGACTCCAGCAAAGTTTAGCAGCTCATTAGACAAGATACTGACCCATTATTATCTTTTGTCAATGCACAGCAAGAGCCCGATAGATAAGGTGAAATGAATCACCTTTTCATTGGAGGACTCCAGCAAAGAGTCTCTAAAGGCCACCATCACAAATGTAAACATATACAGTTTGCTAAACACACAAGAGGGACTGTTTTCAATCAAATGACAGCAAGAATTATGTTTCTGGCAACAAACACGTTAGGTTGGTTTGGCATGAAATAGTTACAATGAGTATGGTGAAGGAAATGGTGTTGTGAGATTACTGTGTGTAATGGCAATGGAAAATACAGTACTGAAAAAAACTGGACACACACTCATGCCGTTTTTCTATGTTGAATTGAGACTTTTGACTTCCATTCATTTATATGGCCTAATTCAGACTCTTACCATAACCATCACTTACATATACCTAATCCTAACCTTAAGTGAGTTGACATGTTAGACCTACACTGGAAAAAATTGAAATCTAGATAAGTCATTTTTTCTTAAACTAAGTACATTTGTTCTTGAATTGAGGAGGTAAAAGAGATATTTTACCAATGGAACAAGACAGTTCACACTTAAAATAAGAAAACACGATTGCATTGTCTTCTTTCAAGTGCATATTATCTAATCGTCTTATTTTAAGAGTAAAAATTCTCATTCCATTGGCAAACTATCTCATTTACCTACTCAAATTAAAGGTAAATACACTTAATTTAAGAAATCTTTACTTATTTCTAGATCGTTTTTCCAGTGTAATCCTAACCCCAAACCCAAGAAGAGATATTTTCCTCATTGGGGACCAGTTGAGTGGTCCCTCCTAGTACCTGAGAGTCCTCACAATGTAGAATATTTAACAAAAAATGCAGAGCAGCTAGTTTACAAGCAAAGTCTACATCAAAAGGTCCCGCAGTGCATTCGAAACAGCTGGAACGTCATGAGCATTTAAGCACAAGTAGGTGATGCTTGAGTATGAAAATCTGAACTTTTGCTGCTTGCGCCAATAACCCCTATGAAAGTGGCTCTGATATGTTTTGGTGTCCTGGTGGGATATACAGTCGCTATTTTCGTTTCATCCAAGCCCAGTTTGATGATCTGGGCTTGGATGAAACGAAAATAGCGCTGCTGGCGACCATCGTCAATGCACAGCTCTTAAAGCTGAAGTCTGTAAGTTTTTAAAAATCACTTTTTTGTCATATTGGCTAAAACTGTCCCTATGCCGAGACAGCAGTACATGTGATATGTAACCTGTGAAAAAAACTGCTTCAATTGGTACCGCCTACTGCCTGTATTTCAATCTGGAAAGAATAATTCGGGACGAGTCAAAACAACCAATCACAGCCAGAGGAGCGTCTGATGGAGTGTCAATCACAGCTCACACA